TCACCTGAGGGTAAGAGCTGCCCAGAGACCCAACTATTTTCTCTTTGCCAAGCATCTCTAGACGAAGCTACAGGGAAACCTCAGCAGCATAGAGGATGGATGGTAAACATGCTCCTTTTTTATATTCTATGGATTGTTTGGATTGTTTGGATTTGATTCTCAAGTGTTTTCACATTTTATACTCTCTGATTCCATTTAAAAAATGGGGGCAGTGATTATAGAAATGCATAATTACCCTTTTTAAGATTGACTGCTAGAGTGGAAATGTGATATTCGCTTGACTCATTTGGCTGCTGTATACACACAATTCTATTTTTGGTTCAAAGCTGCTTACATAATGACATTGCAAAGGCACTAGAATAAAAATAGGAAAAAACTCAGTGTCAACTGTATGCCTTAATTCTAATTTAATTTATAGTGTGAGTCTCTATGCAGCCGTTACTCCAACAAAAACCATTACTCCCTAAAACTCTAAACCCTAAAAGCACAGTTTAAGAGTCGGGCCCCTTCACCCCAAAGAGTATCTTAAAGTCTATATCAACAAAGAAAATACAAGTGTGTTACAACACTTCTTCTTCTATCATCTCTAAAAAATTAGCCTCATTTACTCATGGCTCCTTGAGTTATTAGTCTATCAAGCTCCCATCCTTTCTGCTCTGTCGTTCATCAATGCAAAGTTTCCTTCCCACCTTCTCTGCAGAGCCCAACGGACTGCCCATAAAATGACCTCCTTCTAATCTTCTGTCATGTCTTAATTCATGTACAGTCCACATCACTAGCTCCTTTCTCATAGGCTAACGAAGGAGCTGTAAAATCTTCTCCCACCCAGGAGACAGCTCAACTGTGGCCAACACTGCCACCGTGTATTTCCAGACACACCTTTGCACAGAGTAAATAGAGGAAAAGCAGTTAGAAAATGAGGCTTCACTAGACTTTACTGCCATTGATTGGGTCACAGAGGTTTGCTATTATTGCTGCTGTTTAAGGTGTTACCTGGAGTCATAGGTGATATCAGAAAAAGGTGTGTATTTCTTTTAAAAGAACTCACAGTTTATAAGGACACCCTTAGTGAGGTCACAGACAGTTTTAAATAGTTTCAGGATCCCCACAGCTCTAAAATAGCCACCTGAGGCTTATAAAGAGAAGTAACAATTATATAGCCATATTAAGGCAACAAATTAAGTTTGTTAGAGGAGCTGAGACTTTTCTGCTTGTAAACTGTGTGGCTGAGATAATAAAAGCACATACTTCCTGGAAGAGTTAGATAAGAAGGGAGAGCAGAGGAAAAGGAAGGGCAAGGCAGCACAGCTACTCCCCAAATTTGCTCTTAGGTGAATTTTCGGGGCCAGAGGGAGTGACGTGGGGCATGACGTGAGGCCAGGGCTGTTCTGGCATCTCCACCTGGAAGGAAATGTCAGGGACGTGATAAGTGTACCCTCCTAACACTGGTACTTCCAAACTATTTGGTCCAAGGAACCAAAGAATTGATTAATTCTCTCACCTGTTGTTAGCACTCTAAAGTTTGAGAGTTACTTCAAGCATTGCCTCTAGTTGACAACTAGCGCAAACATTTAAAAAAATAAACAAAACTTTTAAATGATTGCAAAACTTTTACCCAACCACAGAGGCCAATAGGAGAATGAAAACTGTGATTACCCTAAAGATGGGTTTTTTTTAAATTCTAAGAGCAAATATTTCAATGTTAACATGCGGCTAAACAGAGATCGAAACAATACCAAGAACAATACCTGCCACTTTTTCTTTCTAAGTGTAGGATTTAATAATGACATCTGATTGGAAAAGAATATAGTGATTAGGAAATGATTCGTTTTGGAGCTTACATGTTCTCAGACATATGGTAGTTTGAAAAAAGAAAATGAAAGACAATATGCATAAGGGAGTGACGGAGGTAAAAGTTCAATGATTTTCCATCTGCTCCAACTTATTATTAAAGACAGATATGGCACTTTTTATTTTCTAGTGGCCTGAATTAAAAATCATCCTGTCAGCATAAAATCTCTACTTAGTTTTCACATAAAATAAACATTAATGGTGGAGCATAACTCTCAACAGATTAAACATTAACCTTGAGTTTACTGAAATCCTTGGGATTAAAGGACATTATCCTAACATGTGTGCTGCATTCCAGTGACTCATGATCATAAATTTAATAAAAACCAGTTACATTGAGCTGCACAGAGGACACAGAGATTCTGGCGATAGGTGGCATAAATCAAACAGGCTTCAGCAAAGTAGGGAAGCTTCTGGTTCACAACAGAAAAGTTCAATGTGACTGGAGCCAGGTCTCAGATGCTATCACCTGGAAGGTATTTCTGGTCATGTTTTGGTCAATCTTTCCCTTATGTTGCATCTTTCTTAGGCAGGCTTTCCCCTGTGATTAGATTTGCCTCATCACAGCTTTAAGGTCAGTAGAAAGAAAATTTCTCTTTCCACTTACTCCAGCAGAAATCCTGAAATTTGGACTCACCTGGGCCATGTGCCTCTCACAGGACCAGTACCCATAGCCAAGGAGGGTGGTTGTGCTAGTTAGCCAGGGTCAAGTAAATGAATGCAACCATTACTCCAATGAGTAGAATCCACTTTACTAAATTATATGACTGCAGTGCAATAAGGGTGGTTTGCAGAGGAAAAGACCAATATGATTACCAGTCAAAGGAAGTTTAGATGCTGAGGTGTATATATGTATCACGGCAATCAGAAGTGTCTGGACGCTGATGGTAAGTACTTTGAGCACCTCTTGTAACTGCAGAAGTCACACGTGACTTGTATTCCTCTTTTGTTATCAGTATATATTATTACAATTTTAATACAGTTTTTTCCTTTCTTAAAATGCATACATCTTTTGGCATCCTCTGTGTATATCATATACATACCATAGGCATTAGTATATACCATGTTTCCTTGTTCTGTCAGCTGAAAGGGCTTAGAAGCACCAATACACCAGTAGTAACAAACATATTTAATGCAAAGATCTGGGTTTCTCATACCATTCCTCAATAAAAGGAACCAAGGCTCCCTGGAGAACTGGCTAATACTAGGATTGGGGCAGGAAGTATACAAGATAACCCTGTAGCATCATGTAGTGCCACAAAGTAAAAAAGTGCTCCAAAACAAGCAAACAGACAAGTAAACAAAAACCTCACCATGTTGGGGGTATGTCACAGGGACACAACAGCTGACTGAAAGAGCTCCCAATAGCCAAAGGTGAAAAATGTGCACATAACCTAAGGTAATATTGAATGATAACGCAAAGCATAAAATAAATATCCATGAATCCATACAAATATTAATAAATGATTGTATAAATATATAAATGAGGGGAAAGAAACAACTCTCCCATGCAGAAGAATGCCGAATAATTTATGTAGCTACTTCACCCTCAAGGAGAGTGAATATATCACCTTAAGGAGGTGATTAAGGTTGAGGACTTGAAGATGAGGAAACTGCCTTCTGTGACTGTGGTTGTATAGAGACAGTGAGCTGATACCCTCACTCTAAAGCAGGATTTTTCAACATTAGTGCTACTGGCAATTTGGGTCAGGATGCTCTTTCTGCGGTGGCTGTCCTATGTACTGCAGGATGTTTAACAACATCCCAGGCTTTACCTACTAGCTGCCAGTAGCACCGTCTGCCCCCTGAGTTGTGACAATTAATAATGTCTCCAGACATCTCCAATGTCCCCTGGGAGACAAAATAGCAAGCTGCTGAGAATCACTGTCCAAAGGAAAAATGACAAAATTCTCCAAAAGCAAAATCAGTTGAATGGAGTTTAAAGAGTTTTGGTTTGGGAACCAAAGTAAGCAGTGAGACTGAAGATAAATACAAGAGTTACGTGTCTCGCTAAAGTCTGAAAAGAGAGAAGAAGGGTAGGATTAAGATAAATTGTAATGAACAAGTTGAGAAAGTTAGTGTTACCTTTAAGTAACTTTTGTATAAGTTGTGTTTATCGTAAAAGTTTGTATCTCTTATGTTTGTGCATCAGTTAATATATTTTAGTCATTGTAGAAGATAGATTTCCTGGGCCAGCCGAGTGGCGCGATGGTTAAGAGCTGGCTTGGGACGCCAGAGGGCCCCAGTTCGGATCCCACATATGAGAGCCAGTGACACTGCCCTCTACAGCTAAGATGCTGCACAACAGCTCAACCTGGAGCTGGGCTACCAGGAGTCACCAGTGATGGCGTAGGCTGCAGCCCCTGCTGCAGTGGGTTGCCATGGGCTACCATGTGTGGCCAGCAGCCAGCATGAGCGGCCCTCAAGCCGCTGTGAGCGGCAGTCCAGAGGCCGGCGACTGATCTGCCTCACCCGGGGAAGAGCGCAATGATGGTGCCAACTTGGGCCAGTGAAGCAACGTCCTCCACAACTAGACTGAAGAACAAAAGGATAGCAACTTGTCTGTTCCCCTTCCCCCAATTCCCCAATTAAAAAAAAAAATCTTAAAAAAAAAAAGGAAGATAGATTTCTTATGGCTGACATATGTTTTGATTAATACTTATGCTGAACCTAATTTTAAATATTTTAATACTGACTGTGTGGGTGTGTGTTTTAACACTATGTCTTAACCTGGAATTCAATGAAAAATTATCCTTACTAAAACTGGGTGTCGTCTCATAACTGCAAATTAGTGAACATACTTGGAAAGGCATAGAGCAATCCAAAAAAATCCCAATAAAGAATGATTAAACTAACCTACACCCTTCTAGGGAGTACACATCTTAGAACTTTGTACATATTCTACAGAACCATGATGGACATGATGGATAATTCAAGCAGCAAAACAGAATACATAGTAGGACCCCTTTCAAAATTGTTCCATAGGGGGGAAAAATCTATAATATACACAAAACTTCTCAGAAAATAATGGCTATATTTCTGTATTAATATCCCACGTTTCATAGTGTTTTAAGGCATTTTTTAAAGTCTATGTTGCTTTTGAAATCAGAAAAATAATTCAAGTTTGGCAAGAAATATCATGGTCTTACCATCCATACGCAAATGAAGTCGTCACTAGCTCAGGTGAGGTCCCAGGAGATTCAGTTCTGAGGGAAAAGGCCAGTGGAAATGGCGGAGAGTCCTCACATAACTTGATGTTTTCATTTTGTCATGGAATGAAGTAGCAGTAGCTCTGGGAAAGAGGAAAAAGACATTGATAAAGCCGTCAGTGTATCATGCCTGAAAACAATGGGGGAAAGCAAGTGGCTCAGATACTTGGCTAGGAAGAAAGGCAGGTAAACCTTATCAGGAGGCAACCAAAACAAGTCAAATCAACTTTCCTCTGTGCCAGCAACCTGGGTCACACAATAAATCAAACTGAGCCAGATGCGTCACACTAAAGTCAACCACCTTATCAACTATTGGCTGAAATCACGTGAGTTAAACCTGAGTTTACAACTGGCAGATTTTATCTCTGGGGCTGTGTATAAATGAGAACACAGATTTACCTGAATCATGTTCCTGACTGTTCCAATAACTCTATGACTAGCATTAGGGAATGGAATCTAGTATCTTTTTGCTCTAAAAAATGGAAACTTCTAATTAAAGACTCTTATCCATGTCCTCTACAACTACTGGCAGATAGAATCCTATCGCCTGCTAGAGAAAGGCTTCCAAAATATATTTTAAAGTTTCTTATGCCTGCAACATGCAAAAATATTTTTATCCCTTGAGGGCCATTTCCCTCTTGGACCTGCAGAGAGAAAGCAATAAAAGCACCTGCTAACGTTCACAGCATATTTAAACTTGCTGTGAAATTCAAAGTTACTTGCATCTCCAATAGTGAGTTTAATGTCTATCCAACAATGCATGATGAATCTTAAGTTCTATAATTCACTCATTTATTCAATAATTTGCACAGGAAATAAAAGCCAACATGTTATATATATTTTTCACTACTCAGTAAAAAAAACAATGTATCTGGATTTATTTTAGTTACTACATATGTTATTTCTAACAAAAATCTGCATGGTTGAAGAAAGTGAATAATTTTAACATAGCCAGAAAATATCACTCCCGAAAATGTTGAGGAAAAAACAAAACAAAACACCGTTTTATAGACATATATATCTTCCCATTATTTCCTCCAGAGAAAAAGCAAACTTTCAATATTATTTTAACCAATAACATTTGTGTCAGGCAATGTTCTACATGCTTTACAAATATTAATTTATTTAATAATGATAATACACCAATGAGATAGATACTGTTAGTACGTGTATTTATTAGATGACAAAAATTAAAGCCCAGAGAGATTAAGTTACTAACAAAAGTATATACAGTCTACCTGGGCTCAGAGTTAAAAGAAAAACTTAAGAGAAGTTACTTGAATACCGTTGTTGGAGTTTCCATAGAAACAGACCCTCAGAATAGGGTTTGCGTATTTCTTTTGGAAGTGCAGGGAACACCAAGGAGGAATGGGAAAGAGGTACAAAGAGAAGAAAGCCACAAGAGTACATTTTAAAACCAGAAACTACAGTGGGTCCCCGGAGCTTAATTCCTCAAGGAAATTCTATGAAATGGGGCAAATACATGTCTGAGAACCAATTCACTCAACACATATGGGCCATCATTGTCCCTCCAGTTTCCCAGAAGCAATCCCAATGCTGTATTAGGACCAGGTCCAAGTGTCCTTGCCAAAATAGCAAACGCAGAAGAGGGAGATGACCTACTTCAATAAACTTTCCCATGTAAGCCTTATATTCTACACCATCATCACCCCCGTCCAGCATCCTAATTATTTCTAAGTTTCTATGGATACGTATTAGCCACATCTTATAGTTCTCTTGGCAATTAATGGCTTTGTTTTCCATGAAAAAGGAAGCGTACGTCCCCAGTCAGGCCGTGCTAAGACTTGACCCGAGTTATTGGCCTACGAGCCATAAAGGGAAAGGAGAGGAGGCAAATATTGAAGAAGGAACACATCACTGAGAGGCATCTGAGGCAGATAAGCCTTCTTCCCCTTGTTCTCTGAGCAAGAAGAGTCTGTTAGCCTACAGAGTGAGGGAGGGGTCGCAGGCCCAAAACATGGAGGGGAATGTGGGAACCAAGGTTCTCAATCAGGCATATCCATTTAGATGATCTGATTCCAGTTCTCAGTACCTTACTCTTTTCCTGTCAGGGGCCTTGACTCTAGACTAGAAATAAACTTTCTCCGCATTTCTGCTGTTCCTATAATCAGGCCATGAATCTAGTTTTCAGTCAAATTTACTGTCCTAATGCGAAAGGTCTGAGTCCCTTCCAATGCTGTCTGAGGGCCTTCTAGTTTTCACAGTATGCCCTGAAATGCTAGTAGGCTGACCTGAGTCTGTCATTTTATTCTTAGCACATTGGTTGTGCTTAATATCAATTCTGCAGTTTTTAAATTTTAGATATTTTCACATGTGCAAATGCATTCTATTCCACCTGTACCACCTTGCAGGGGCCATCCCAGCAACACACAGGTGAGAGCCTTGGTTATCATGATGCTACAGCATACCAGGGGAGATCAGCATTCCATTCGCCACCAGCAATGGGGTTCTAGTTGCCTCTGGATGGAAAAAAAAAAATCCAAAGTCCAATTCCGGAATCCTATCCTGAGAATCTGATCTGTAGGACCATATCTACTAACACCTTTAGAAGCAGAAACAAGAGTTTGAGAGAGAGTAATTAATTTTGGAGACAGAGGGCATGCAAATAGGAGAGTGGGAACATGATGCAAAGAAGCCGTCACTGGTTGGGACCCTCAGTAAGCAGAATCTGAGATGGAGAGTAGTATGTAGAAGCTTATAGGGGTTGCCCTTGGGACCTTCCCCTATGGAAGGCAAGTGACCAGAGCAGGATTCGGCAGGAGGAGATGCTGGGCTGCAAGGCTGTCTCAAGAGGAAGCCACAGCCAAGCTTTCAGGTAACTCGGAATCTGGAACTGCCCCTTGGAACGGTCCCACTTTGGACCAGAGAGTCAGGTCTTTCTATCCTTGATTAAATTGGAGTTTGGATGCAAGTTGCCCTGTGACAGAGGTACTGTTCCTGGGGAAGATTTCTTTTTCCAGCTAAAAGGGGCTGGAAAATCCTCAAATGGAGTTGACAGCTAAGTATCTGCTAGCAGGATTCCTTGCAGCTGCGGTGATAGATCTTTCATTCAAAAAAGGGGCATCTCGGTGACAAATTTCAACATCGAACTGTAGGAAAGGTAACACTGATTTGATGCTTTATTAAATCCACTACCACAGTGACTAGAGCTTAGATCTGGAAAATGACGTAAAACACCTGCTTCAAAATGATCCCGTCCTGGGCGGCCAAGTGGCTCAGTTGGTTAGAGCGTGAGCTCTGAGCAACAGGGTTGCTGGCTCAATTCCCACATGGTTCAGTAAGCTGCACCAGTAAGCTACACCCTCTACAGCTAAGATTGTGAACAACAGCTCAACCTGGAGCTGGGCTGCTGTGAGTGGCCGGCAGCTGGTGTGAGTGGCCAGCAGCCAGTGAGAGCTGTCATGAGTGGCCAGTCAATGGCCGGAGACCAACTGCCTCAGCCAGGTAGAGCGCAATGATCATAATACCAACATGGGTCAGTGAGCAGAGTCCTCCATAACTAAACTAAGAACAACGGCTCAGAGGTGGGGGAGGAGGGGAGAAAGGGGGGGAAAATGATCCCATCCTTGGGACACAGGAACTGGGATGTTTACACAGAACCACTCGAGTCACTGGATGAAGTCTACTCCCAGAGCTGGGAGGTATTGATTCTCCAGCAATGGTACCACTGGTTTGTCATGCATGTGGTAGAGTTGACTTCCATGCTTCTGGAAAAACCCTCAGACACATAAATGCTGATGCTGGCAGATGGAACTGAGCTGAGCACACTGAAATGGTAAAACCATCAGATGTGGTGGGCACTGACACTGTGTTACAGTTACATGCTAACACCAAAAGTAAATCAAACCAATTTATTTTTGATTTTGCAAAAAGTGTGATTACTAGTGGCATACATAAATCAATCATTTTCAAATTTAACAATAAAAATTTATAGAAGTTCTGATTGATTAAGGAGCCTCTCATGAACACTTGAGAAGCTTATGAAAAAATAGCTTCAATTAAATACAATTATTTAAAATTATCTAAGCAATGTTGGGACTTTGAAATGGATGCAAACATAAAAGTAAAATAAAACATTAATTTTTGTGGTGATTGAGACTAGAGATGTGTTGTTGGATTTTTATTGAAGAGGGACACTGTTCCCCAAGCACTGCTGCCTTTAGTTTAGTTTTAGCTGACCAGATTTAATCTTGTGTTTATAAAAGCATTTCAGGCAATACTCAATTCACCTCTTCAGACTTCCAGAACTTGGGCATGAAGAGGGCAGGCAATTTCCATAAAGGATCCCACACCAAATAATGACAATGGGAGTAAAAGTATACTTTTAGGCAGACATTTCTCTATAGTTTACCCTCCTTAAGCCACTAAATCCTAATTCTCCAAAGCTAAAGTTTCAGGTCTCTTTTGTTCTAACTGCCTTATTAGGAGAGTTAGTACTTAACATCAACTTCCCTCTGCACTCCAAGTTGCAATGCGTTTTAGTTAGTGGATGTTGGGACAGAGGTTTGATTGTAGGAGAGCCTGAGAGGGAGGTGCCTGTGGGTGGGGCAAGCAGGCACCCTTCCCCTTCTCTCTGCCTCTCTGCTTAGATTCTTATTGAGCCTCTAACTTTTATCCCCTTTGCCCAATTGGGCATATCAAGCTTCCTCATCACTTCTATCTCCACAAATGCTAGGGTCAGGACTGTAGTAGGCCAAAGTAAGTGGATGGAAAAAGATGTGCCATGCTAACACTAATCCAAAGAAAGTAGGGGGAGCTATATTAATTTCAGATGCAGCAAAGTTATCAGGGATACAGAGAGGCATTACATAATGAGAAAAGAATCAGTTCTCCAAGAAGACATACTGATCCTTAATGTGTATGCACCAAACAACAGAATGTCCATATACATGAAGCAAAAACTGACAAAACAGCAAGGAGAAATGGGTGAATCCACTATTATAGTTGGAGACTACTTCCAGCTCTCTGAAATGGACAGATCCAGCAGGCAGAAAATCAGTAATAACAAAGTTGAATTCACAAGTTAGAGAATAAAGTATGTTACAGGAATGAAAATGGCATATAAAAAATTTTTTAATGTTTTTTGTAATTATATTTGGTGGTGATACATTTAATTTATTATTAATAAATTACTATTAGTTATAACTTATTATTACTATATTTATATATTATATATCTTTTATATAATATGAAATA